AAAGTTAAGAAACAACCCTCATCCTGAGGAAACAAATGACCCTTGGGTGAATCAGACCTACAATTGGCAAATCATTAGCATCATACTCTAACCAACTAAGCTAGTTAACTGTGCTGAAAGCCACTGTCCTGGATTTAGGTTTTTGATCCAGGCTTATATCTTCAGCACTTCCTTGGCTCCTGGGAGCTGTTCAATAATACAAAAGCATAACAACATAAGAGATACAAGTAGGCCACACAGTTCAAGACTGTTCCGTCATTCAATAACAACATGACTGATCTGATCTTGGCTTCATCTCCCTTTTTCTGCCTCTACCACATAACTTTGACTCCCCCATACTTCAATAATTGTTTACTTCTGTCTTGAATATATTCAATGATTCAGCCTCCACAATTCTTTCAAGAATCCCAAAGAATCTCAACCACTGAGACAAGAACTTGTTTTATATCTCTATCTTTTCACAGTAGTTGAACGTTGAACTGAAATTAAGCCAACACAATGGCCAGTTTCAGACTAATAAAGATAAAGTATAGGTCTGCTCTCTCATTAGAGAGAGATGATTAGTGGCGGCTTAACCTGAGGGTCACCATGCCTCAGAAGAGGGGAGAAGGTTAAGAAGGAGAATCTTTTGCAGTAACATCAACTGGTGTAGAAAATAAACCCACACTGTTGGCATTAGAAACCAGCCAACTGAGCTAAACTGACTCTACCCCCCTCCCCCACCCCCACCCCCGGGTAATTATGGCACAATACTCCACATAACAAGGATGTTCTTTCGTATTCAATTCAGGGGCCTGAGCCTAACTAAAATTTGTGCAAGTACAAGTTCTGCAAAAAGCAAACATCTGCATAAATATTACTGTGGCAATTTTTACAATTTTTTTTAAGCATTAAGGAGCATCTGAGGTGGCCAAGGTGCCTTTTTAAGATATTTGACTGTTTTGGTAAGTGAGTTGCATACAGTAATAGTAACTGCCACCTGAAGGCTCACTAAACAGTCTATGTCTTTTAAAAAGTCGGGCAGTGCTCATCGAAGAGTCTGCATGGGATTTTGGCGGCTATGGTTCCACCCTCATCTAACAACAAACAGCTGTTTATGGGAAAGTACAGCATTGATGTCAGCTTTAAGCAGTCCTTAAAGGGATACACATCTTTTCGTATGATTGACTGCTCAATGTGTTAACAGGACCTCTGAAACACATACTGTAATTTTCTAGAACACCTCGTCGAAAATTCACCAACATTGAGCAATATTTATTCCAGAAATTCTCTGAAGATTTCACTTAATAAGAATAACACATTGCTCCTCCATCGTATTGGACACCTTATCGTATTCACCAGGCGAAAGGGAGTGCTTAATTGTCAACATTTTACTAGGAATAATCTTTGGTCTGATTTAGAATGAGAGAAGAATAAAGGACCAGGAGAAAAGAAAAGGAGTGCAGCACAGGGGCTGGGCAATACCCCTTCTGTGGACATCTCCAGCAGGACCTATACTGCCACATTGGAGAACCTGTGTGGCCATTCCCTCAGCTTCTGTGCCATCCTACAATATGTCACTATGTGCTAGCCACAGCATTTCACAACTTCTGTGGTGGTGGTTACAAGGAGTCCACATATACAACTCCATGAAAATTGTATCCAATCTGCTCTTGCAGGCTAACTGCTGGGTTCTGCTTTAGCATCTCTAGACAAGTTCAAATTGTGCTAATCAGTAATTAAGACCAAGCTGTGGGCTGAATCTAGACTTTGAAATGGACAGGTGTAACAAGCATTGAATCCACCTAGTCACTCTTTACACCCTTTTTCTAAAATTATTGCCTATATTTTAAATTGAACTCTGTATATAATCTCAAAAGGTAGCTTGTTTTGATGAATACAGATCAGACATACATATAATTAAAGCTTTCACTTGGCGGAATAGCAATTATTCATAGCAAGAACAAAATTTTGTTAGTATAACAAAGTATGGGAATTATACCAACACCTTTAACTCCACAAAAAAGAAAGTTTATTAGGAATTAGAAATCAGTTTCTTAATTAAACATTCATTACAGATGAGTAAAATTAAATTCTCCTTAAATGGTGTTGCATTTCAACTTCCACGCAATCATGTGTGATTGAGTATGAGTGTGATAGAGTGAGAGAAATGCATAAAAATGGCAAATTGTAATGAATAATGAACAAAAAGAAGCTCTTTTCAGACTGTATGCTGAGCTCAGAATGTTTAACCTATCCATGACCTGATGTAGTTAGATGCACTTGAGCCATTGTATATACTGCTTGCTTAGAAATACCATGATAACTGGTTTCAATGCCTAGAATCATACTGATTTGGGTAGATTGAATAACCAATCATAAATTTTAAGAATCCTCTAAGGGATAGATGGACAGACATTCAACTAATGATAAAATACATGGCCCAGAACTCAGTGGAACACATGGGTAGTATCACTCCAAGGGCCTAATATAAAGAGTGAAAATGAGGAGGAATTGAAGTTCATGTGCCCTGAAGGCTGTTAATGGGACCTCGGGACATCAGGTCCAGACAGAAAAGGGGTCATAGCAGGCTCCATTAAGTGTAGAGGGGAGGGGGTCAGGTTGCTAAGAGAAGGTGACATCATTACCATGGGAGCAACTATTTGTCAGCTGGGATTCCCTTCATGGATAATGGAGTCCCAAAAGGAGTAACATTCCATGTATCTAAATGCCAGTGGAAGTGGCATTTTTTATTGATTAACTTATTTGAGTGTTTAAAGAAGCAGCTCCATGGTCAGTGGGTCCTGAAGTGAACACAAACTTTCTGGCCCAGAGGTAGAGATGCTACTGTTGTGACGCACACTGAAACTGAACAAAGTCATTTCACAGAAAGCCAGACAACTCCAGTGCTAAAGTATGTGGATCAACTTGCTGTGGCACAGAAAATGCATCAGGTATAATTCAACATTCACTGCTGAATATTTGTAGCAGTTGATGGGCCCATCTGTTCCTTAAGTAAATTCTATTTCAGCACATTATGCATATACTTGCCCAAGATGTTTGTGACAATAGGTTCAAAATATGTGTGTGTGATTTTCTTTTCATTTTGTGCAATGGATGCAGAGATTAATCTAAACAGTAGGTCTTTACTTTGTATTCCACTGGTCTTGGTGGGCTTTAAAAATCAACCTGCACACCCCTTCTCTCCTCCTCCTTCTCCCTCCACCAACTCCGCCCCCAAATCTCAAACCTCCCTTTCTTTTGTAGAATTGTGGAATGTGCTGTACCTACCAAATCTGTCCTGCAACTGCATTTGAGTCTGTACAATCAAATTTCTGCCAAATCAATAAAGCAGTGCCTTAACCAAAGTTATGAAGCCCTCGTGTGTGATTGATGCGTTATCCCTGCTCATCCCTCTTGATCTGCCTACGTTCATTTATGAAGTTGAGTCGACTGGCCTCTTCCAAAACTTCTGCTCTGTTTTCGAACTTAATGGACCCTCCACCAGGGCACTCCCTGGTTCTCCCTCCAAAAAGAGCCATGGAAGGGTTTCCATGTACCTTGAACATCTTCTACATGTTGGCTTACTCAGGACAACACTGGAAGGTCACCTAAGATGATGTGCTCGACTGTCTAGGATTGGGGCTTGAACCTGTGACCTGCTGCCGCAGAGATGGTATTCCATAGCTGATATCAAGATGTTGTTGCCAGTGTTTGAGGCACAGTGGAAGTTGTTGTGGTCCTGTGACCAGCATTTCTCTTGTTCGGCAACATCCATCAAAATAGATGGGGTGTCTGCTCACCCAGTCGTTGTTTATGGGCATTTGCTTCAGTGGAACTTTTGACAATTGTACCATCAGCAGAGTAACTGTTAAGTACTTTTGAAACATACTGGACAATACATTAGTGTAAGGTCTACCTCCAATACATAAAGTGTTTGTTAGGTTGAAAAAACAGCTGTCAGTTTTAAATGCTGTTTTAGATTGTTGTTAGGTATTGGGGCATTGTCTAAGGATAATCATAGATCATAGAAGCCTACAGTATGGAAACAGGCCCTTCGGCCCAACAAGTCCACACCGACCCTCAGAATATTCCACCCAGAACATCTCACCCAGACCCATCCCCTTAATTTACACATCCCTGAATACTATGGGCAATTTAGCATAACCAATCCACCTAGCCTGCACATTTATTAATTGCAAGATTGCAACTGACCAAGGGCTCAGGGATCTGTTTGCCTGACAGCTTCCAGTCTAATTAATCGAGTGCCTCCTGCTGAGGCCTAATGGCCTGTGACACCTTGGGGGTCCCAGCTGGGTGTAACATCTGCTGGCTGCTCTTTCGAATTCCAGAAGCAAGGTTGCAACTTTGACAGGGGGTTGCCCTGATACGCAGTTTATTATTGTCTGTTAAATTACCAAACAGAAATTGACTAAATGCAGATCAATCAGAATGTATCTTTAAAGTAAACGTTACCAGTGAGTCCAACATTGCTTCTGCAAGTTAGGGGTCTAATGGATACCAGGCCCAAGATCAAATTGGAGAAAGTGCAGAAAAGATTTATCAGAATGTTGCCAGGACTAGAAGGTTTGAGTTATAAGGAGAGGCTGGATAGACTGGGATTTTTTTCACTTGAGCGTAGGTGGTTGAGAGGTGACCTTATAGAGTTTCCTAAAATCACAAGGGTCATAGATAAAGTGAGTAGCCAAGGTCTTTTCCCAGGGTAGGGGAATTCAAAATTAAAGGGCATATTTTTAAGGTGAGAGGAGAAAGATTTAAAAGGGACTTGAGGGGCAACTTTTTCTCACAGAGTGTGGTTCAAATGTGTAATGAACGGCCAAAGGAAGTGGCAGATGCAGGTACAGTTACAACGCTTAAAAGACGTTTGGACAAGTACATAAATAGGAAAAGTTTAGAGCAATATGGGCCAAATACAGGCAAGTGGGACTGGTTTAGTTTAGGAAATTTTGTCGGCATGGTTGAGTTGGATCAAAGGGTCTTTTTCTGTGCTACGTGACTCCATAAGACCTCTTTTCATGAATTTGCATGTCGTTCTTGCACAGGGGCCATGCTGATCTTCAATATATTGTTCCAATTTTAGGAAGTGCGCTATCAAAGTGAACACAGGAGATGTCCTTTAATTGACCACTTAAGAGCATCATAGAATCCCTACAGTGTGGAAACAGGCCCTTTGGCCCAACAAGTCCACACCAACCCACTAAGCATCCCACCCAGACCCATCCCCCTACAACCCACCTAACCTACATGTCCCTGAACACTACAAGCAATTTAGCATGGCCAATCCACCTAGCCTGCACATCTTTGGACTGTGGGAGGAAATCAGAGCACCCAGAGGAAACCCACGCAGACACGGGAAGAATGTGCAAACTCCACACAGACAGTCACACAAGGGTGGAATCGAACCTGGGGCCCTGGCACTGTGAGGCAGCAATACTAACCACTGAGCCACTGTGCCACCCCAAGACACTCTATAGACACCAGGCAGGTTGCCAATCCAGCGCCTTTCTTATTACTGACAAAGTAGAAGGGCAGACATTAGGAACACCCATATGTCTCCCAATGTCACTTCGCAAACTTGTTCACCTCCAAGCTCATTGCTCATGGTCTTTGAAAATTCCAACCATCATTCCAGGAAAAGTATTTAGGATGCAAGACATCTAATCAAATCTTGTTATAAATATAATTTTGCTGACATGAGCAGTGCAATTTCCATTTTCTAGAAGAGAAACAGTCTTAAAAACTATGGAATAATGTATGCACCTTATGGGAACTCATAAAATGATTTTATTCTGTTTTCATTCAGTTTGTCACATTTTCAGTCAGATTTTTAAGATTTTGACAATTTTCTACTGCTCATGTATTAAATTTTGCAGCCATGTATACTTCAACATCTGGCTACTTGATTTATTACTGATTCCTTATTTTTGGTACCAAAATTACTTCCAAGATCAAGTTATTTTATTGGTTTGGTTTGACTTTTAATTTGTAGTGTCCTGCCAATATATTGAAAGTCAGATCCATCTCCACCTCCATCTGAGTTTAGACAATATATTCAGGCTAAGTGGTCCATAAAACATTAGATATTTTCTAATCAAACTGTTCAGATATTCTCTGTCACACCTCAGGAGTAGGTACCACTTCGACCCAGATGTAGGTGCACTATCACAGTGCCACAAGAGCCCTTTGATTGTGGAAATTAAGTACTTTCTAATCAACCTGCTCAGAAATGTTATTATACACATCTAGAGCAGATGAATGGTCCATCCTTGACTCCTCCAGAAGTCCCAAGTATCACAGAAACCAGTCTTCTGCCAATTTGATTCACTCCACATGATATCAAGAAACAGTTGGAGGCACTGGATATTGCAAAGGCAATGGGCCCTGGCACCATTCAGCAATAGTACTGAAGACTTGTGCTCCAGAACTTGCCACTCTCCTAGCCAAGCTGTTCTAGTACAGTTACAACACTGGCATCTAAGTTGCCTAGGTATGTCTTATACATTAAAAGGCAGGACAAATCCAACACAGTCAACTACAGCCCCATAAGTTTATTGTCGATAATCAGTGAAAATGATGGAAGTGTCATCAACAGTGCTATCAAGCAGCATCTGCTCATCAAAAGGATAAAACAGAGTTAACGTTTTGGGTCCAGTGACCCTTCCTCAGAACTTCCTCAGTTCTGAGGAAGGGTCACCAGACCCGAAATGTTAACTCTGTTTCCTCCTTCACAGATGCTGCCAAACCTGCTGAGCTTTTCCAGCAACTTTGTTTTTGTTCCTGATTTATGGCATCCACAGTTCTTTTGGTTTTTATCTGCTCATCAAAAGCCTGCTGACTGACACCTAGTTTGGATTCTGCCAGGTCCATTCAGCTCCTGACTTCATTGCAGATTTTCAAACATGGACAAAAGAGCTGAATTCCAGTGAGAATGACATCAGTGACAACAAGACCACATTTGGTTGAGTGTGGCATCAAGGAGACCTAGCAAAACTGAAGTCAATGGAAATCAAGGGGAATAATCTCTAACTGTTGGAGTCATATCTCGCACACAGGAAGATGACTGTTGTTGCTGAAGGTCAGTCATCTCAGCTCCAGGATATCTCTACAGGAGTTTCTCAGGGTAGTACTAGGCCCAATCATCTCTAGCTGCTTCATCAATGACCTTCCCTCCATGATAAGTTCAGAAGTGGGGATGTTCACCAATGATTTCAGAATGTTCAGCACCATCTGAGACTCCTCAGATACTGAAGCAGTCGACGTCCAAATGCAATAGGATGAGTAACAAGTAACATTCATGCCACATAAATGCAATGCAATGGCCATCTCCAACAGGAGACAATCTAATCACCGCCCCTTGACACTCAGTACCATCACTAAATCCCCACTACCAGCACTCTGGGGGTTACCATTGACCAGCACCTGTGCTGGAGGCATACAAAAATACAGTGGCTTCAACAGTAGGTTAGAAGCTAGGAATACTGCAGCGAATAACTCACCTCATGAGTCCCCAAAGCCTGTCCAACATCTACAAGACACAAGTCAGGAGTGTGATGGGATAATGCCCACTTGCTTGGATCAGTGCAGCTCCAACAACACTCAAGAAGCTTGGCACCATCCAGAACAAAGCAGTCCACTTGATTGGCACCACATCCATCAATCTTCAGTCACTCCACCAGTGGCACTCAGTTAGTAGCAATGTGTACTTTCTACAAGTTGCACTTCAGAAATTCACCAAAAATCTTCAGATAGCATCTTACAAAACCACAACCATTACCACCTAGAAGGACAAGAGTAACAGACACATAGGAACCCACAACCTGTAAGTTCCCCTCCAAGCCACTCACCATCTTCACTTGGAAATATATTGCCAGTCCTTCACTGTCGCTGTTTTAATATCCTAGAACTCCATTCCTAATGGTATTGTGGGTCTACGTACAGCACGAGAACTGCTGTGCTTCAAGAGGACAGTTCACCAGCACCTTTTTAAGGGTAACAAAGATGAGGAATAAATGCTGGCCCAGCCAGTGATGCCCATGCCCCATGAGTGACCTAAAAAAAAAAGGTGGGATTTGAATTCAGACCTGTTGGTTCAGAGGCAGGGACATTACCATTGCACCACAGGAGCACCACCCCCCACCCCCTCCCCCCAGTCTCTGTTTGGGTATTTCTAATCAATCTCTTGAGACATGTTAACCACTTCTGTTTGCACACCACTGCTTCATTCAAAACAGTGATTTGAATTAATTCTGTTGAAAGTAGATCTATTCCCTTTGTGTCAATGAAAGCCATTAACTCCTTTGGGAATCAAGAAAGCAATTTTTAAAAGATAAAACAGGAAATACTAATAAAGATTACATTTCTTTTAGTTTAATCCAAGAAGGCCGTGAATTAATACAAATGAACTATAATGTTTAAAATTGAAATGGCATATTCTTTTCAGTAATTTAATCTAATAATAGTGTAAGCCCAGTTAGTGATATTAAAAAGAACTTGCTCCTAACTACGTATGATGCCATGGGATTCTCTATTCAATAGGTAGATGGTTAGGGTGGGGGAGGAGGAGGTGGGATACAGATATACAGCATGTACACTGCTAGCCTTATTATTACCCTATTTAGAAATAAAAGCTTGCATGTAAAAATCTGTACCATGGACACAGCAAGCAGCAGTTCATGTTACATAATTATGGAAATTTAAATTTATTATGCAAAATCAAAGCTCAAGAGAATTATGCCTCTGTAAAATCAAAGTTGTAAATCATTGGCTATTAGTGATTCTGAGAAGTAACCATGTACATATTACTACTACCTCCTGACTTAACCCTTTACTTCATCAGCAGCGTAAAGATATTAGTACCATAATGGCTCCATTTTATTATCTAACCTGCTGTAGTATTTCAACTTCACATTTGCTGTCAATTATGTAGAATAATCATATCTTCACCTTGTTATCTTTCAATTATTTTATGTGCAATTCTTACTCCTCTGCTAAGGGCTCTTTCTCTTTCCCTCCACTTTGAACATGTTACAACGTAACTCTGTGAACATTACATCCTACAGTAGGACTTCAACACAGGTACTCAAGGTTAAAGGTATGGACATTACTGCTTCCCCACAAAACCCTGTACTGGCACTTTTCCTAGAATAAATTTCCAGTGACAATTAGCTTATTGGCCTAAGGGGCACTGGGTAGCTCAGTTGGTAATACATCAGACTTTTGGGATTAGAATAGTTCTGTGTTTGCTTTTAACTGGTTTGGACGTGATGGGCCAAAGAGCCTTTTTCTGTGCTGTAGATCTCTGTGAGTTATGGTATCTCACCCATGGTAGCCTTCACTTATGCATCACTTATAGTGAGCATTGATAGGCTATTTCACTGGTGGAGTTTAATACAAAGCCCAATCCTATCTTGACCATATCACGTGTGCAGAAAGTGCCATTTTTAAAAGTAGTTTCTGAGTAAGCACGTGACACTGAGACCCCGCAAAAATTTACTGGTATCATTGACTTCACTCATAAGCATTCATAAACATGGAATTAAGGTAATTACTTGTAAACCTGATTTCTCAGAAGAGCATGTTTGCTTCATTTTGTCTGTCAAGAACATCTGTTTACAGATTTTGTTTTGTAATCTATTATTTATTCCAGTAATAGTCATAATTAAATAAACTTTGAACTTAATATGCACTGCACAAAGCCAATAACATATCACTAGAGTTTTCTTACAGCACTAGTTCATCTACTACATATTTATCACACCTGAAATTCTGTAGCCATAGCAACATCACACCTCTCCAGTACTTTAGGAGCTGCAAGGCTGACAATTAGCATCTATATGAAATGTCCTCAAGCAAAATATATGTGGTGATATGTTTTCTTTGATATTTCCTATTTATAACTGCATTTCTAGAAAATGTAAATATGATGTAAGACTCAACTTTATTAAGTACCCAGTGTTTATTCAGTAAAATAATCTGAACAGGATAGAAACCCACTGAGATGTTCTCAGTGCCCAGAGAAGACCTCAAAAATAGAAAGGCATAAGCCCACGTGCTTGACCTTAATCTTCCTTCAGAACAGATGCAGGTAACTACACTGAAAGAAGG